TTGCCCGGGGCCGAGCCCACTTGCTTGGGGCCCCTGGACTATTACCACTGCAACAAGGTGGGAGAGGGAGAGGGGGAGGGACCGACGGACGGGGCAAACGGGGAGGGGGGCGCGGAGGATGAGTGGCGCCCCGTTGGCTTTAAACATCCCCCCCCCCCCCCCGGGCTCGCGCTTCGCCAGTGCGGGCTAAGGCTCTGCCCGAGCGGCCGGGGGATCCCTTCTGCCCGGGCGGCAGGTCGCTCAAGTCGCCCCAAAGTCCCGCGCGCAGGCTGCTCGCCTCCCCACTCGGTGCCCGGGGAGAGAATTCAGCCGACCCCCCCCCCACCCTCCCCTGGAAGGCTCTGCCCGAGCGGCCGGGGGATCCCTTCTGCCCGGGCGGCAGGTCGCTCAAGTCGCCCCAAAGTCCCGCGCGTAGGCTGCTCCCCCCCCCCACTCGGTGCCCGGGGAGAGAAAGAAGCCGAGCGCGTTCGAACAAACACCCCCCGGCAGCCAGTCCGAAACTTCTCCTCCTCAAGGGAGCAAAGTGTGGAAGGGAGCAAGGCGAGCGCGGCTGCATCCTGCAGGAGGGAATTTCAAAACTATCGCACTCTGCAGCACCCGGGCTGCTTGCTTGTTTGCTGGCGCCGCCAGGGCAATTCTCTTGCCTACCTGGGAAGCAAAGGGGGAGGGATATTTGGGGTGCATGCGGTGGGGGGAAAGGAGGGGGGAGGCTGTGGTTCTCATTGGCGCTGTCACTTCAGACCGCGGATCAAACCTCAGCTTTGGTAAACACTATTATATAGAAGAAATGTGTCTGTGGAGGGGGCATCTGGACACACAAGTGTATTTGTGTGTTTTATAGGGGAGGAGTGGAACTGTATGGGCTTAAGAGATTGCTTAGTTTGAAGTGCCCCCCCCCTCCTGTGCTTAGCAATGATTCCTGTTTGAAAATGTACAAGGTAGGGGCGACAGGCTTTAGGGTGAGTATTTTATCATTGTTTATTTTGTAGTTCTCTGCCTTCTTGCTGAGAAGGAGCTGCTACATCGGATGTCCAGTGCAACCTTGCATGCAGCATTGCATGCAACATGCAGTCTTGCATGTTGGTCGGGTGTATGTGTGTTGTTTTATTTTCTCAAACTCAGGCTTTGGACTGCAGGCTTTTGTCCCTCAGTTGTCAACCAACCCTTTCCCCTCCCCACAACACAATTACTTCTGTTAAATACAAAGCCTGCATGGGGGTTATGTATATTTCATAAGATCTACAGCACAGCATGAAAACCTCTCTAACCTAGATTTGTCTGTTTGCTACAGCGAGAAAGTGCACCCTTTTTAATGTGTGTTTGTGTGAGAGAGAAATAGAGAAGGGGGGCAAAATGCTAGGGAGTATTTGAGACTACAGCCGTCTTTAAGACTGTAATCAACTGAGAGCAGCCAGCAGAGATGGTGCTAATACTACTCTTGAGTATCATACATTTCAGGCAGTAACATTTTGGGCAGCAACATTTTAATGAAGGAAGAATGTTGTTGACTGTAGAATTTGCTGTATTTAATCAATCTTGTATAGCTAGCTGTTTAGTCAGATTCTTAAATTGCAGAGCTTCATCTGCATGGTCTACTGATTTAATTTCTGTGGTTTACTGAGTTTTCTAAAGAAGCCTGGTTTCGAAATGTTGAAAGTTCCCTACTTTTAGTGATGTGCACCTTTACACTTCTACCACTAGTTCAGCTATTAACAGTAATGACTGGTGTGCATAATGTTTTATACAAGGAGTTTAAAAGCAAGCTATCTAATCTAATGTGCAATTTTGTTCCCAAATGTGGGATTTATTGAAAGTGCACTGTTTGTTCACAAAACATCTGTTGATCTGAAAACTGAATTTAAAAAATCTTTATTCTTATGGGAGGAAACTTTAATCTTTCACTATTATCAAAGTATCAGTTGCTAATGTACTTAGTACCTTGGATGTCTGGGAACAGATGTCCACAGCACTTTTTTTTTTTTGAGAGAGAGAGAGAAAGAAAGAAAAAGAAAGAAAGAAAGAAAGAAAGAAAGAAAGAAAGAAAGAGAAAGATATCGCCTGGTTTTTGCAAACACAGATGTCAAAAAATGTTAGAAGCAAGTCCATATGATATCTGTTCATTTTGTAAGGTGGAGTATAGTGATGAGTATCCATAGACAGAGTTGAATGCTAGAGAGGTCTGTGGCAGCTTCATCATAATACGATGGAAGGTCACTGTGGTGTAGTTTTTCAGAAACTATGTCAATAGCTGGGGCACAGGGAGAACATTCCTTAGAGGATGGACTTCAGTCATTGCACATAATGGAAAGGCATTGGCTGTTGCTGTTAGTCTGAAGTCACTTGCTGCTAACTCATCCTTTTTACAGTATGCTGCTGGTGGCAATGCTGAGAGTATGAATGACAGAGTACTGTAATAGTTCTTGATAAACAGAATAAACTCATGTTGGGTTGAAAAAGTCTGGATGAAGTGATGCCGAAGAGCATACAAAGTACTGACCACTACCAGCAGGTGCTGCTGTTGCTACTGTTACCAACATCTTAAAACACGAGAAAGGAGAGAAGAGAAAATGTTAAATAAGTCCCTGACAGTCCAAATTTATATATTTTTCCTTTGCTGTCAAATACTATTTACATAGTTAGAGTGGACGAAATGTACTTGTGGGATGAACTCTGGTGCATAAAGATAGCAGGATTTCATTTGCAGTGTCCTGACAGCTGATTTTTCTTAAAACCTTTCCTGCCCTCTACACAGATATTCTCTTTTATAAAAACAAACAAACCACCCCCTCCCCCCATCCATTTCTGAGTGGATAGATGAGCACATATTACTGGTGATTCTGTTGCCGAGGACCTCACTGTTTTAGAAACCTATGGAATAAAGAATTCAGGAAAAAAAGATCCTTAGGTAGGGGAGACTTCAGGGTAGCCATGTTTCCTCTAGTTGGATGTCATGAAAGACATAAAAGTTTAAAGGGGACTGGAATGGGAAGAAGGAAATGACTTGGGGCTGTGTTTGTGGTTGCTGACTTTCTTAGGAGAGACTTTAGAATAAGCAGTGTTTCCTGTCACAAATAAGAGAACACTGACTTAGAGGGGTTTGTTGTAGGAAGGCCTGGATATTGCTTCTCTTCATCCACAGTAGAGAATCTGACATTCTGTCCTAGGGATTTCTGAGTTTTCCTGAGCAGTTCAAACACAAACAAGGGAAATTTTTGTAAACTAAGTTCTCAAGCCCCATGATTGAAGTGCTTTTCCTCGTAGACTGGTTCTTTTCTGAGGGGGTGGAAAAGAGTCTTATGGAGGAAAGATTGTGTGCAGTGTCAAGCATTGTGTGTATAAATAGATGAAATGGAGGGCATAGCAGTAGCTCTGCCAGTGCTGTCCCCGAGCCAGTAGATATTTCTAATACAGCCAGTCAGCTTGCTGAGGAAACAGTGTTTAGCTCAAAGCATCCTGAAATGTTAATGTAATTGTTCTGTGCACTTACTGAATATGATATTGTTATCATGAGATTTCCCATCTCATTTGTGTGCTGCAGCAAGGCACAGTTGCTCTATATAGTCATTGAAGTACCTGTTATAGATCAGCATTTTCCACTTTAAAAGGACAGGTGTGTTTACAAATAGGGCTTGTCTAATGGCTATGTGAGTACTTAGCTACATGCAATTTTCTGTGCTCTAGGGTGCCATCCTGAATAATCGAGATGAGTACCTAGTCTGCTATATCAGGAAGGAGGTTAATGCTGGCCTACCTTACAAGATTCTTGGGAGGGTTATTGAGATATTCTAATTTGGTGTTTATCTTGCGAGTATTTATTATTTGTCCTGTGTTTCTCTTACAACAAACACATGAAGCTGCCTTATGTTGAATCAGAACCCTTGTCCATCACACTCAGTAATGTCTACTTAGACTGTCAGTGGCTTTCCAGGGTCTCAGGCTGAGATCTGTTACATCCCCATATACCTGATCCTTTTAACTGAAGATGCCAGGGATTGAATTTAGGACCTTCTGCATGCCAAGCACATGCTCTACTACTGAGCCACAGCCCCTGAGCCACAGGAGTTCAGAGTGGTTTGCTTGGGGTTCCCTGGAGGGTCTCCCATTTATGTAGTGACCAGACCCAAACCTGCCTAGTATCAGCAATGTTGCCCTTCTCTCCTGGAGTTTATCATTCTCTCCTGCCATTTTATCCCTGGCCAACCTGTGAGGTAGACTGGGCCTTGAAATAACAACTAATCCAAGGTCACTCCAGTGGAGTGGTGGTTTGAGACCAGGTCTCCCTACTCTTAGTCTGGCATTTCATCACACCAGCTCCCAGGGAGAAGCACACTGAACACATAAAATATTATGCACAGTTATTACTATTGAGAAATAACTACCTTCTGTGCAGCCTTGAAAATGCCTGAAGAGGTGACTAGCAAAAATGTTTATTAGCCTGGTCCATCTTTTGATGGCTTTAAGGGAGAAAAAGAACTTGCTTTCAGTTTGCAAAAGCTGGTCACTGGGAGGTGAATCTTATTCCATAGAGACATCAGGCAAGTGGCTGTATACAAACCTGATTTTGCATTTGTGGTTCAATACTATAGTTTTCTTCTTAGCAGAATTTTCTTGTGGTAAAATAGGTTCTCTCATTTTCTTCAGACTTAACACAGCAGTGTAGAGAAGAAAATGCCATGAGTAAAGTATCCTTTATTCTCCAGAGAATTAGTTCATATATGCAAGGTTTTGATTGATGCTTGCTGGTCCAAATATGGTCTTATTTTTTTCATTTGGTTGTTTAGGATGGGCTTTTTGATTGGACTCATACTTGGAACTTCATTGGTTTTTTCACTTTTCTTTCTGTTTTTCATTGCACAAATCACAGATACAGTTTTTTTCTTCTTTACCTTGAAGTCTAGTACATCAAATGTTGTGATAACATTGATGGAATTTATTTGCTTCTTTTGTAGAAAATCTTAAAAGTGGTCTTGAATGTACAGGTTCAAAAAGTTAAAAGAGATAAGTTTCAAATAGCCTTTAACACATCCTCCCCATGCCTTTAAGCAGGTTTGTAGCAA